GGATATTCACCCCGATATGGCGTTCCCATTTGAGGTCGACTATGATCCTCCAACGATATGCGAAATAGCCGCAGTGATTGGTCGCTTGAAGTCTAACACGGCCCCTGGTGAGGACGAAATCCCGGCAGAAATATATTATAAATGCCTTCCGGTGGTCAAGCCGCATTACTCTTTTTCGCTCTGTTTGGGAGACCGAAACATGTCCAACTGATTGGAACACCTCGGTTTTGCGTTCATTCTCCAAGAAGGGCGACAAGATACTATGCGAGAATTATCGGGCATCAGTCTGCTAGACGTGGCTGTAAAAGCGTTTGCCTAGCTCGTGCTTAATCGATTTGCAACAGCGAGGCATGCACGTATGCGGCCAAGCGAAGGAGGCTTCTAACCCGGCAAAGGATGTATCGATCAGATTTTCATACCAAGGCGAATTCTGGAACACCGATACAAGTTCCAGAGCCCCACCGCTATGTGCTTTATTGACTTTCACGTCGCATTTTATTCAGTGGACCGCGAGTCACTGTTGAAGATAATGCTTGCAGATGGCGTCCTTGCAAAGTTGGTCAATATAGTGAGATCGTATTACACTCAAACCAAAGCCCGTATTCGTGCCTACGGCGAAGAGTTTCATTCCTTCATTCTGAGGTCAGGAGTAAGACAAAGATGCCCGCTATCTCCAGTGTTGTTCAACTTCGCCGTTAATTGGATTCTGCGTGGACAATGGAGGGTTACCATGGCGTCCAAGTTTCCACGGATTGCTGGATTACTGACCTTGAAGTCGCCGATAACGTGAGTGCTTGGAGAGGACCTGACCGCCTTGCTCTCAATCGTATCAAAAGATTTACCTGAGATCGGCCTTGAGATTATTCCTAACAAAACCAAGATGTTCGCTACTCCACTTGATCAAGCGGTACATACCCCGCAACTGGATGGTCGGACAATAGAAATCGTATAGGACTACAAGTACCTTGGGTCCACCATCCTGCCCATTGACAAGCCAAAGATGATGTAAAGCGGCGCATCGACACGGCCCGATCGAGGTTTCTGCAGCTTCGAACCACCCTATGGCGCCGGAACGAGATCAAACTCAAAACCAAGCTCTGTGTTTGCCACAGCAGTTCGACCATATACTATTCGGTTTCGAAACCTGGTCGCTGAGAGCTGAGGACAACCGACGATTGGAGGTTTTCGATCACTGGTGTCTTCGATTCATCCTGAAAGTAAACCGGCGGGACAGTCTCAAACTCGGACCTCAGAAGTCGCTACCACGTTACCCGTCTCTCAACGCACATACAACGCCGCCGACTGTAATGGCTGGGCCATGTTCTCTGCAGACCCGACGACACTTTCACGAGTACTGTTTTGGCTCCGACACCATGTCCTGGCTGGTGCCGCCGACAAGGTGGGCAAGTAAAACCCTGGCTGGATACTGTATTCAACGACGCCGACCAATTTGGCCTTTGGATGGCGTACGGCACTCGCTGATGGAAAACGAAGTGGATCAACATTGGCAAGGATCTTGCAGCCAACCGCCAAGCGTCGATAGCGGCCATCAGAGACATTCATGGAGCCGGTTTATCCTTTCCAAGGAGCCAGCCGTAGTTAAGTAAGTAAATACTTCGACCTCACTCCTTTAGGAGAAATCAACATTCGTAAACAGCCGGCCATATCTTGACCTGGCCATGAATGTATTGGTCAAGTTTTAACATTGCGTTAGGTCCTTGAACTGCGTCACATTCGTGGTCGACCAACGATCCCAGCGTTTCTTGGCCTGAAAGGAGCTTTAGACTCAGTAGACCGCTCTGATGCGTTCCCCTCTTCTAAAAGGAAAGCACTAGAAGTACGTTAACTTAGTGAGGTTAACGTACTCACATACATGCTTTGCATCTTGTAAAGTGATGCTGCAGCACTGTGCGCCTCTATAACGATCAGTATGGTCGGGGATGGGTGTCTAGGGCTGCGACTGATCACCCTTCCTTTGCACCTCACGAAATGCTCGTATACAACCGAGCGTCCCAAATACCCTCAGCTGAGGATGCCCTACTCACTACCTTCTCGTTGCGGAGGTG